AGGCCACCTAGATGGGCTGGAATGATTTTGTCAGGAAAGGCTTTGGAAGTCCTGGAGAGCACCAAGGCCAACACAAGCCAAAATATGCACCCTTCTGGGACCCTGAGCTGCACTGAGAGTGCAGCCAGCAGGCCAAGGGAGGGGATCCTTCTCCTCTGCTCAGCACTGGTGAGCACCTCCAGGGCTGCCTCCAGTTTGGGGCTCCTCAGCTCAGAGGAATGCAGTGAAGGGCTGTGAAGATGATGATGGAGGGATGGAGCAACTCCACCGTGAGGGAAGGTGGAGGAAGATGGAACTATTGAGCCTGGAGAAGGCCTAGGGAGTTCTTTTCCAAGTCTATAAATACCTGAAGGGAGGGATCAAAGCAGATGGAGCCAGGCTCTTTTCAGTGGGCCCAGTGACACAACCAGAGAGTGGTCACAAACTGAAATACAGGAGGTTCCCTCTGATCTCCAGGAAACACTTTGTTATTGTGAGGGTGACTGAGCACTGGCATAGGTTGCCCAGGGTGGTTGTGAAGCTTCCTCCTTAAAGCAATTGAAAAACTGCTGAGACACAGTTTTCTTTTTCAAATTTGTTCACAAACTAAAAGAAAAGAAGAAAATGCAAAAAAAGTCCTTTTTGCTAACACTTAAGAAAACAGTAAAACTGGGGTAATTTTTAAAATAAATGTTTTTCTTCCATTGATACTTATTTCAGAAGGATATTGGTTTGGTACATTATTACCAAATTAAATACTTTTACTAGTCATTCCAGATAAGAAGATGCAACTGCAATTACATATCATGTTCTGCTTACGGAGTTTAGCAATATGACAAAGTAGATAATGCACACCTCTTTTCTTAAAAAATTAGTAACTGAATTTTTCATGAATAAGAAAGCTTACAAAGTTATATTATAATAATTTTTATTATTGCCTTTTACTGAGAAAATTTAATTAAAATCAGCAAACTCATAGAGAGGAAGAATAAATTGAAATACATCTGTTTTGTGCAATTAGCAAAGTCCTTTCCAAAAAAACCAAAACCCAAGCACCCAAAGACCACCAGCACAAAAGCTGTTTGTAGTGACAGTTAAGTTGACAAATGATTGTGAGCAGCATTTTACTTGGGCCAAATCAAGTGTAAACCCTCAGGATTAGCAAAATCCTTACAGAATTACAGAAGTAGCTATACCATGATAACATTTTATAAGGTATTTAATGGACATTTACAAAGCTGGGAAAGAAGGACAGAGAGTTAAAAGACTGCTCTCAAAAGTAAATAGTTTACATCTCATGTAATTTTATATCTATTTCCTGGCCTGGGGAATTTTCAGCAGAGTATAACTTTCAGGAAGAGTGAGTCACCTGTAGCCAAAATTAGGATCTGTTCCTAATTCTTTCACAGAAATTTTGGGGGATTTGAACACGCCCTGTAATACCTGCTCTGCTTGTGTGGCTGTAAAACGGCATTTAAAAAATAAAAAAAAATTCCTAACAAGGGTGCTCGAAGACATAATAATTCTTCTTCGTGAAGTACTATGACTTCTCCAAAGGAGCGGTGCTTTCCATGGTGAGTGTCAGATCAGTGATTTTGCCGTCCCAGGACAGGCAATGGCAGGAGCGGGCAGCGCCCGGTGTGTGCCGGCAGCGACCGCCCGGTGTCCCCCTTGCAGCGCGGAGCGCTCCGAGCGCCTCCAGCCGCGCTGCTCCGAGCGGGAAGGGATTCCCGGGAGCACAAGGCATGGGTGGCCGCTGGAAGTGTCCCGAGGGACCGCCGGCTGCAATTCCCACCTGAGAGGTCACTTGGCTGGCAATTCACCCCTGAGGGATCACCGGCTGCCAGAACGGCAGGTGAGTCAGCGCGGAGAAGTCTGCAGAGGGAACAGCGAGCTACAGCTAAAAGGTCTGTGCTGGAAGTTATTCCATGGCAGTTTCTCCTCTGCTGGGAGCAATGAGAGATGCAGCAGCTGCTCCTCCCTCAGCAGAGGAGTGTCCTGGGGGTTGCAGTTTAAGGACCCAGAGCCTCATTCCATAAAGGTGAAAAGCCAAAGAGCACAAGCCCTGCGCAGTGCAGGTTCCCTGCCAGAGCTGCTGTGCACTGCTCGCACAGGACAGAGCAGGCACGGGAGGGTGCAGGCGCTCTCTGCTGCCGAGTCCTGCCTCACAAGTGTCAGCAGAGAGCCAGAGACCAGGAATGGCGATCAGGCTCCCTGGCTTCTCTTCTTTGTTGCATCCCAGACTGTGGTATTGAAATGAAATTGTTCTTTGTGACAGGCTCCTCGAAGCTTTGTTCTCCACTTCAGATTCTTCTGCCTCCTGGAAAAGACTTGCTTCCCCTTTGCTTTGTGTTTATCTTCTGCTACACCTTGGCTGGTAAAAAAAGAATTACTGAACTTCTACTTTGAAGCAGAGAGACAAATCACCACGTCACCAGAACATGAGCCAACACATGCCCAGATGAGCAAGAAACACACCTGGACGTGTGCTGAAGGACTGTGGCCAGGAGTGGCCGGCTGCCTGCTGAGGTTCCGCACGGCACAGGGTGCCTCCCAGCCCCAAGCTGCCATCATTGCCAACTGAGGCTTCTTTGACTGTGCCAAGCGCCTCCTGCAAGCTGACACCAGGAACCTGGGCTGGTAAGTTTTGTTTTGCAGTGAAAATGGTTATCATTTTTGTTCAGGTTGCTGTGGCCGAGAGAAGGGTTCTGTGGAGAGGGAGCCATGTTTTGGAAGTTTTGTAGTCCCCTTGGCATGCCTTTTGCAACTAAATTGTGCTTGGTGCTCTGGGCTTTGTGGTTTTCAGACCCTAGCAGACAGTCGGCCACTCAGCACCACAGGCCCCTGAACACCAGTGCTGGCCCTTTTCCCTGGGAAACAAAACTCACCAGCCCAGGTTCCTGATATCACTTTGTAGGGGGCACTTGGCAGCCTGGCTTCTACCAGCCATTGTGTGGCCAGCAGGACTGGGGCCCTCCTGTCCCCCTGTTCTGGGCACTGCTGAGGCCAAACCTCTAAATCCTCAGGTTGTTTGTGGGATCCTCATGACAAAAAATACATTGAGGGACTGGAGTGTGTCCACAAAAGTGAACCGATCTGGGGAAGGGGCTGGAGAACAAGGAGCAGCTTAGGCATTGACAGAGCACGTACGGGGGAGACCTTCGAGGTTTCTTCCCCCAAGCGCAGGCGTGTTCTCATTCCCGAGCTGAGCTGAAAGGTGCGGACGTGGGAAGCCTGGCCTGCCTTGTGCAGAGACGAGCACAAACTGGGGCTGTGACCCGCGGTTCCGTGGCTCTGGTCCCTCCCGGGCGTGCGGGCCGGGATAAAGCGAGGCAGCCGGAATAAGGAGAAGGCGGGCGGGATGAGAAGAAGACGGCCGGGATGAGGAGAAGGCGGCTGGGATGAGGCGAGGCGGCCGGGATGAGGAGAAGGCGGCCGGGATGAGGAGAAGGAGGCCCGGATGAGGCGAAGCGGCCGGGATGAGAAGGCGCAGCCGGGATGAGAAGGCGCAGCCGGGATGAGAAGGCGGCCGGGTGTTGCCGGCAGCGGCCACCGGGGGGCGCCGTGGGTGCGGCTGGGCCGGCCCCGCTCCCCCCCCCGCCCCGTTGGTGTGACAACGGCACGCGCGGTTCCGCCTGAGGCCCCGCGCGGGACGGGCGGAGAGCCGGGAGCGACCCCGAGCGACGCCGGGAGCGACACGAGCAGGGCCTGGAAGGTGGGCGATGGGCGTGGAGTTTCACCGTTAGGAGTCTGCCCGAGCTGCTTTGAAGGCTGGAGCTCCTCTGCTCTAGGACAGGCTGGAGAGCTGGGGGTGTCCAGGGTGCGCAAGAGAACGCTCCAGGGAGAGCTTAGAGCCCCTTGCAGTGCCTACAGGGACTCCAAGAGAGCTGGAGAGGGACTTTGGAAAAAGGCCTGGAGTGGCAGGACAAGGGGAAATGGCTTCAAACTGCCCGAGGGCAGGGTCAGATGGGATATTGGGAAGGATTCCTTCCCTATGTGGGTGCTGAGACCCTGGCACAGGGTGCTCAGAGAGGCTGTGGGTGCCTCATCCCTGGCAGTGTCCAAGGCCAGGTTGGACAGGGCTTGGGGCAACCTGGGACAGTGCAAGGTGTCCCTGCCCGTGGCAGGAGGTTGGAAAATGATCTAAGATGATCTTTAAGGTCCCTTCCAGCCCAAACCATTCTGTGATTCAAGGAACAAGAAGGCCCTTTTCCAAGTGAAGTGTTATATCTCTTCTTGGCTCCCAGCTTGGAGTTGCCAGTTCTTCTGGAAGCAGGCCCGGCTGGTCAGCTGTGATGAGCCACGAGTTCTCAATGGGACGGGAGTGACATGTTCACAGAGAGGAAGGGCTGTAAACAGATCTTCAAGGCCAAGGTAAAAAAAGGCAAAGGATTTGGCAAAAGCCAAAGGAATTTGTTGTGTTAGTCAGTTTTCTGGTTGTTGAAATGACCCCAGGTCATTTTCAACATTTCTGGTTTTGGTTTGTTTTAGTGAAAATGAATGTGTTATCTCCAGCATATGCTTTGCAATGCATCTACATGTGTTCCCTTCTCTTTGTTGTATATCAGGTTATATTAACTGAAGGCAGAATGATAACACAGCAGTAAAACATTTAGAGGCATAGTTAGCCAGATTCAGGCATTTCTCACTCTGCTGTTGACTTTTCTGGTAACTGTAAGCAAGGCAACACCATCCAGTTACTCCACTTTTCCTCTCTGAGGAAGATTATCCCTTTTTTTCTCATTTTGAAAATAGCCTTAGATGAAAATGGTTGTGCATGTGGCAGGTAGGGTTCATTATTTTACCTTTCCCTTCTTCTGTCTGTCCCCTACTATTTTTTATTAATTATTTTGTCGCTGTTCACTGTTCAGTAGGTTTGAAGGAATTCTAATTGTTGAGATTATGGTTCTTTGAAGGCACACTTAGCCCACCTTTTGGATGAAGGAAAGAAGAAAACAAGGTCCTCTAAGAAGAGTAAAAAGTGCACTGTAAATAGGCATTCAGAAATGTTTGCTGGTGCCATGCCATCACCGAGTAATCAGCAGAAATGTGTTGGAAAATCACCTGTCAGTGACTTCACAAAAACACCACAGTCAGACAGGTAGGGAAGAGAAGCATAAAACCCCAATTATATGTTCATAACTAAAGGTATGAAATGGACAGATTTTCACTGGGAATTAGAAACTCCTCAATAGCACTAACAACTTGTAATACACTGTCTCCTTGCCAAATGTAAATTTAGTGTAATGAACTGCTTGCTGCCTGTTGAAGTGCAGGCTAACAGACTAATATTTGCAATGGCAGGCATATTGTATGGCTTTCCTTTTAAAAAGAAATTGTCTTTGCTCATAGCAATCTAGATATACACCCACTGCGACACATATTTTTTTAGGCTATATTTCCAAGTAAATGGCTTACACAATAATGCAGTAAGATAATGTAATGAACAAGAATGAAGTTAATGCATCCATCCTTTTTTATCCTAAGCCAGCTGCTGAATAATGATACAGGGATTCTCACTGACCCCAAGGAGAAACACAGTGCCTAAGCTGTTGAGAAAAGCACTGGGCAGATAAAGGCTATCTCCACATTTCTTGCTAGTGTCTCCTTAAGATTTCAAAGGTTTTTTTACCTTTAGAGCTATTCTGTAAGTCTCTGTAGTTTACACGTTCTAAATCTAGCATGTAATTGCTGTAATGCCATCCTAATAGATTTGAAGTTGGGATCTACCCAGACTTCAGTTTGTCTCAGAAGAAGCAACTTTGATTCTTTGAATTATATTCTTTAAAGTTAGAATGATACCTATGTTCACTTTAATGTTACATTTTGCCAATTAAAGTGTATTATACTATTATGTTCGTCCCTCTTCTGGTGCATTTCTAGTACAAAATGAAGCTTTATTCTCTTAATATTTCAGACAATCTACAACTTTTCCAGAGACATGGGGAAATGTAGATGCAAGTTCAGCTGAGGAAGTCAGAGGCCTGCCTGATGTAGTTGGTAAAACTGGTTTCCCTTAATGCCATCTATTTTAATTTGCATTCATGTGGTACATGCAACAGGTTTAGCTGAACAAGGTATAAAGTTGTGCTGGTTTGAAAGTAAGCCAGCAGGAGAAATTAACCCCACATACCATAACAAATACCTTTTGAGAGATTTCAAATTGGAGTTACAATTTAATAGAAAGATTACAGCAAATGCAATGATACAGAAAAACTGGTTGAGAACCACAAAGTCAGAGTACAAGCTGGCACCCTGTTGGTCAGGGTTGCAGTGGTTGCAGTCCTGTCAGATGGGGTGGTTTTGTGGTTTTGTGGAAGTTCGGGTCCTCCTCTGGATGTCCAGTGGTGGTGGTGTCCCAAGTCCCCAGACTGCCTAAATTATATACAGTGAGGTTCAGGTGGTACATCCCCCAGTGCAGGGACGTTCCCAATGGCATGGAATGATGTAATCCCATGAGTCCTACAATATTTCTGGAGTCTGTGGTAGTCCTTTCAGCTGCCCATTCTGCTAGTGCATAATCAGTTCATCGTGGCCCGTTAGCACAGATGACCCTCACTGAATGGGTGATGCTGCTGTGTCCCCAGCTGAGTCATTTCAAGGATAAAGAAACAGCTCGCCTTGCAGGGTTTGCCTGTCTTATTTTAACACCCTGCTGGTGTCCTGGGGGTCAGGTGTGCACTGAAAACCACCCATCGTTAATAGGTCATTGCAAAATGAGGTAGAGGGGAGTAGAATACACAGTTTGGTTACACTCACACTTGGACTCTCTCTCCTGCAAGGCAACAAAAATCAAGCTCAGAAATGGCCTGACACATTTTTGATTATTTGTTGGTAATTTTGAAGATGAAGAGTCTTCTAATAGAAAAAAACCCCAAAAAGTTGTGAAATTGTCAGTCAATCACAGGTTATGTTTAGATGATAAATTCCACTTTTGATGTAATCAGATCTCATTCCTGAAATGTTGCAATTTTTTTACATCATGCCTGAGCCTAGTTGATAGTTCCATGCTGTTATCTTTCTGAAAAATCAGAAGTTAATAAAGGAAATTTTAAAATATGCCCTAGTGTTTTTAACCTGCATTTGCTAAGATTGCACTTCCCATGGAAAGATGTTGCACACTGTGAAAGCTGCACAAACTACAGCAGTCATAGTGCAGATTTGTGGATTTATTTTTCATGATTCCCATGTTCTGCAGCAGCACCAGGCTACAGAATCCTCATTTCTTCCTTGGCAGTTCCTGAGGAAACAGGCAGCAGCACATGGAAGTACCTGGCAGAACGGCGGCAAAAGCGTCACGATGCAGCAGTGACCGAGATGCAGCAGGAGCTGGACTGCATTGGCAGGGTAAGGCAGGAGTTTTTAAACCAGTCTTGAGTGCTCTTCTAAGGTCAGGGCCCAATATTCAAATGATCACTCTGACCTGCCACTTTAGGAGATGGAAGCCTCTGTTTTGAATCTTCAAGAATCCCTTCAGCTTGAAGTGATGAAATCAGATGAAAAGAGTAAACTTCTGCTTGAAAAGATTGCATCTGACGTGGCTTTAGAAGGTTTCTCATTTGAAGTAAGGCAACTCAGAGCAAGGGCTCAACTTCAGTTACTTGTATCTGCTCTGTGTAGCATCTTCTTATGGCTCACTGGAGTCCTAAATTATTTGCTTTATACTTTCAAAATTTTATTTTACATATATTCACTTTTCAGTGAAATTGAGAGTAGATTTTTATTGCAGGGTTTGAAAGAACTCTGGAATATGATCCACCAGGAGTCCTCAAACAGAAGGAAGTGGATTAGGGCAGTGGACAAATCCCTGAAGGAGATTGAAAGGAGTCGAGCCATGAAAGTGAGCTGCAGTCTTAATAACTATTACTTTAGCATACGATTGTTATTTGCTAATATAATGCTGGGTGCAGAGCAAAGAGTAGCTTGTTTCCTCAGGAGTCAGAGATGTGCCAGTAGTTCTGTTGTGTGGTGATTGCTTTCTTTTCACCAATAAACTATTCACTCATTTTATACCCACATAATCAGGAGAAGCTACTTTTTCCTAGTTTGAAGGTTTCTTTCTTTCACAATTACCTATACTAAAGGTTCAGGGAATATGTGAGCTGCTTTTATTTCCCTGGAGGGTTATATAGGTCAGACTTTCATTTGGTCTGGTTTTTTGGGGGTACATAGCTGTTCTGCAGCTGAGAAGGAGCACAGACGTGACCTAGCTTGATTTTAGTTTGGGTTGGCTGGGGTCAGTAGCAAAAGTGTTGCAGTTTTGTAGCCTTCAGCCTAACCTGTAAAAGTCATTGGACATCCTAGGAAATATTTGGATAAAAAAATGGATAGACTGTGGAAGAGCTTGCTGCACTGTCCTTGTAGGCAAAGAAAAGCTGTTTGTTCTACCAGTGCCAGTTTCTCCTCTCTTTGTAATTCAGGTATGATGAAAAGGTCCAAGAGTATCACCAGTAACCTTTCTGTTGGATTAGTTACAACAAATGTCAGAGATGAACACATTTGCTTTAATTTTGTGTTCACTTAAAACAGGCACTGGTGGATTCTGTTGAGATATTTGAAAGGAAGTTGGTTTGATTTTTAAATTCATATTGCAGCTTGTCTGCAGAGCACTCAATTATCACAGATATTAAAGAGAAATCAGCTGAGTAGTAGCAAAGTGGAATGTTTTAGTTACTATTTTTATGAATTACTGAAAAAATCAGTCTTCAAGCTAACTCAGATGAATATATTAAAATTTACTTCTCAATCTGTGTCATCCAATTAATTTTCATTCACTTTAATAGATTTAATTAATGAATAATTAATGAATTGAATGAAATCCATTTTAATGGAAAAAAATATCTTGTTCATGTAGTTTTTTAACTTGGGAAGCTGATATTTGAGTTAACTTTTTGTTGTTGCTTTTCCTTATTCTTCTATTGCACAGATAGCAGATGTACTGACCAAGTATACTGTGAAACTGGAGGAAATTGCCTTCTTCTTGGCAGCTGATGTTCACAAGCTCATTAACAATAAGGCCATGGTAAATGTTTTACTTGGGGCAGGATAGCAGTCTGAATATTCCTAGAATGTCTTTTTTTTCCTAGATGAAATAATTTTTTTCTGCCTATCAATCACTGAAATATAGAGAGATTTCTACTTTGCAGGGTATTTGTTATCATTTGTATTCTTTTTCCCCCTCATTTTGTGTGGAAGACACAATTTTTTTTTTTTGGTTTTGCATGTTGTATGCTGCTTCTACTCCTGATTTTATTTTTTCATGCACAGAATATAAACAGAGCACTGCTGGGTAATGAGAGGGCAACTGCCAAGCTGCTCTTTAATTTAATGAAATCAGAGCTTGAGAAAGAAAAATTGCATCAACTGAAATGGCAAGAGAGAGTCAGGGACTGGAAGCTCATCCAAAAGAACTGTGTAGTTCAGAGTTTCAGGTCAGAAATTTTGCAATCTTACTTTAGACAATGAATAACACAAAGTGACTAGTGTTCATTTGTGGTTTCTATAAAACAACAAGTTTAAAAAAGTTACTTTTTCTTTATACATATCATATATGATGTAATGTATGAGATCATGTTTCCATTATACATATCTTTATTCCGTCCTGCAGAGAATTTATGGCAAATGAAGAAATACAGAATCCCCAAGCTGTGAAAATGGAAATGGAAAATATGATAAAGGAGCAGATTGTACTCAGTGAACAGAGACTGAGGGTTTTGCAGCACATTAGGTATGGCAAAAGAGTATATACCATAAAGGAAAACAGTTCTTTCTGGAGTTAAAGAGAGGTTTGGCTACAAAATGCACTTTGCTTTCTGTCAGTGTGTGATTGTTAAATTCAGCAGTAAGACAGGGTCTAAACCTATTTTTCTAGAGCTCTTTGTAATGGAAAAAATACATTTTTGATTTTCACTGCACCAGCTACACTAAATAGGTGGTGATCGAGGGCTGAAAATGCAGGAATACAGAAGTAATTCTTACTGACATTTGAAACATGCTAGAAATGGGCAGACAAAGATGGGTGGAGAACTAGAAGTTGGTGGTTTTTTCTCCATGTGTAATAAATTAAGAGAGGAGTATGTATAGAAATCTAACACTGCTATGTTTGAATATCCCTCCTGAACACAAGGAGCATTTTTGGGTGCAGTGCATTACAGGGAGTTTATTTACAGTGGATGTAGGAACAAGGTAGATTACAGTTAGTTCCTTGTTGGGTAGTAAACAGTTGACCTTGAAGAACAACAGTCTCTTTGGCTGATTTTCATTGCCAAGATGGCTGTAAATAAAATAAAGCACAGTAGTATGGACACTGATTCATAATTTTGTATTTTATAATAGTTTATATACAACTGACTGGTTTGTATTTTAAGGTACCTGACTCTTGTTTCCTCCTTTGATAGCGTCATGTTGCCTCCAACACATAAAAAATCTGACATAAATGAATGGTACAGAACTCTGGAGAATTTAAACAAAAATATAGGTAAGTTGGGAAATCATAAAAACAGTCTGAAATTCAAGCAATACTTTCTTTTTTTTTTTTTGGGCAGTGATGAGGCAGACAGTTGGTTTGAAAGCACATGTTTGCTCTATTCTTTGTTGCACGTGTTCCCACATGCCTTCTCAGTTGCTTTGAGCTGGCAGTAAGACCTTAAGAAGCTGCCTGTGACATCACTTTCCTTTGGCTGGTACAAACACTTGTACATGGTGACATCTAGCAGGAACTGGCTTGGTTAGAATTAATCTGGGGAAATAAAAGTTGTATTTTGACATGGATGAGTTCTCAATCATATAAAAATACTCATTTTTAACTCTTGGAGAAGAGGGGAAGGATTACTGGAGGTACTTCCTTTCTCTGTCCTGTAGAGTGCCTTCCCTCTGTGTGCCTGCCTTCTCTTGCTCCAGAGCATGTCCTGTTGTGATATTTCTAGCCTGTATGGTAGCAAAGAAGTTGGTAGCAATTGTAAATAACTTGCTACTTTTAAGCATAATTATAAACAGCTGTGTATTAAAACATCTTACTTGACTGGTTGTTAGTGTCACACAGATGTGCAGACACTGCTGGGATCTGTTCCCTGTGCTAAGATTCAGCACAGGGCCTCTGTCATGTTTTTTTTTTCTCACTGTGAAATACAGAATTTTGACTGTGGTCTGTTCCACATCATTCAGACACCCATAATGCAGAGTGTGTGGAAAAAATGCTTGTCCAGTACGAGCTGGTCCAGGGCAAATGTCAGGAAAAAGTGCAGACCTGCAAGGTGAGTGTCCCAGCTTTGGGTGTGGTAGCCATGGTACAGTATGTCATTACAGTAAAATGTGTTTGAGGGTCCAACAGACATTGAGATAACAAGTGAAATTAGTTTTTAACTCTGTCTTACTCAGTTCAAAAAGTAACCATCCATCTGGTTTCACAGCAGTATTTGGTATTTGTACTTGAAATGTGTAAAAGCCAAAACAAATGCCAGTAATGAAGGGGGTGCTGTCCTGTGTTTACGTGGGGGATGCAAGGACCCTCAGCCTTTGTGCTAAATCTGTCTTATCTTGGCAAAGGAATTCCACCTCTCTACCTCAATTTCTCCCTCTGTATCAAGTTGATTTGTAGTCTTCACTAACAGAATGGGGCATCTAGGAGGCTGAGTCTTTGTCCATCACAAGAAAAGAAACACTAAGTTTAGCCATGCTCTCTGAAAGTTACACCTGTCAATAATTTGCTGTTCTTTTCATTTAGATGACCCTGTTGGATAAGAACATTTGCACAGTAGAAGATGTTGAACTTGTGAATTCCAACATGCTTCAGATGACTGAGAAACTAAGAAATAGGTTTGAAGAAGAACTGGAGCACATGGATGTGTGTTGATTACATTTATTTTTATCACTCCTTGGGACTAGTCTGTTCTTTCTGTGCTCCCACTTGCAATGCCTTCTGCATCCTAGGATGTTGATGTCACATTAGAAAGAGGTGCATAGTGTGACTAACCACTACAAAGAAACAAAACTTGGTGTGGAAGAGTTTCACATGGAAGAGTTCATAATTACTGTGTTCATTATTTGTAATATATTGTATTTTTATTATAATTTATATCTGAAATATGTATGATAGAGGTAAATGAGGTATGGCCCAATCTGCTAAAAGGCAGAGGAATAGATTTAAATGATCTCCCAAGTCTTCCAATCTGATTTGTTGTGATCCTATACATAAAAATCACTGGGCAGTTGTTCATAAAGAGATAAATTGTAGAATGTGATTTGGTGCTTTATGCTGTCAGAATAAGCAGAAGTTTTGATACTCTCAGCTTGTAGAGTAAAAATCCACATTCTTACCCAGTTTACTTGGATTTTACTTTTTTTACTCTCCACATAGAAGACAAAATGTTGAACACCAGTTGTGTAATTCCAGGCAGCCTTTTATCATTTTACATATCTTCTTACTCATTCATTTCACCTTCCAGTAGTTTATAAATAACTTGTTCACTTGAATGTTTTTCTTTAGAATGATTTTAAGGAGATGGCTAAATGGCATGAGCAGCACTGTCAAGGCTTGTACAGCTGTGTTCAGGAGGCCATGGGTCTCTGGGATGTCCATCTGTCCAAATTGTCCCTGCAGGAAGATATACTTCAGAAGAAAGTAGATAAATACAGATTGCAAAAGGATAAAATAATACAGGTATAAACATAAAAACAAGGATGTGGCATAATGTAAAGAAAGGATTTCTTAATACAAATAACCCTCTGGAATTCAAATAGCTGCTATAAAAAGAAAAACATAATATCTGACTTTATATTAGAATTTCTACTTTTCAGTTTCATTCTGTCAAGTGCATTTTTGCTAACTGCTTGATTCACAGTGAATGGACAGTCCTGTCTTGATGTGGCAGAAGTGATAAAGATCACTGCTGCTTTCTGTACTAAGTGGCTGCAAGTTGCTATTATGAGATCTTGTGCAGGTGTAGAGTATGGTTGGATGCCAAATTCTCATAGTTAAAACAGCCAGCTTGGGGTGGCTATGTCAGAGGTGTTCATTGTCTAGGAAGATCTTCATAGGTGATGAGTTTTGCTAAGGTCTTGGTGTAGAATATATGTACATAATCAAATTACTTGAATCCTAAATAGTTATGGAGATTTTAGTATATTCTAAATAATTTTTACTAGCTTTTTAATGTGGCCTTAGGTGATGAAAGATGATCTGGATACAATTCTGGAAAAAATGAAAATGGCCAGCTGTGAAGAAGAGCTGGAGGAATATTTGAAGAATGCCCTTTCTTCTTTAGATCAAATTAGAACTAGGTAAGAATTTTGTATTGTAAATTTAAAAAGTAAAGCATATTTTAACATTGGTTGTACTACTTAGGCCTGGTTTATGCTGTTGTGAAGGTATGGAAAAGACTGTTTTACTTCATGTAAGGTATGGAAAAGGCTGTTTTACTTCATGTAAGAATATAAAATAATGTACATATTGAACAAGGTTAAGGCAAATAATACCCACAGTTTAGGAATGGGACAAAGAAAGACAGTTATCATTTAAAAACCATTCCACATCAGTATTACTGTGCATACCATCACAGCCATGCCTTATTCAGAAAGTAAAAGTAGTAGTTCAGATTGTTAAATGACAGGAATCAGGAGTTGGTCTGCACCATCATATCTGCACTCAAACTTGATCTCATTCAAAGTTGCAAGAACTAAGATTTTTAAGGTAGCCAAAGTATTTATTTTGGCAAGTTCTCTGTTATCCTTCTTGTGATTAGGCATTTGCAAGCTTAAAAAACATATAAAAATTGGTGCAATACTGCTCTCCTTGCTAAAGACCTTAGCAGCAGGTGTGAAACCTGAGAGGAAGCAGCTCTGTTGTTACACCCAGGAGGTCTTTTCTGCCTGTTAGATCAGAGGCACGTTAGAAGGGCAATAGGGACATGAGGGACAGAATCACACCTTCACACACCTCACAGTGGGATTGTGGTTAGAGTTGGGGTTTGATAATCTTAATAATCATTCAAACAGTTTTTAAAAAGCCAGAGGTAACAGACCAAGTGAAAATACAATGTAACCTATCTGAACACGTACATAAATTCCCCATAATTATCATTCTTTAAGAGACAAAGCAAATGTAAATGAAAACAAGTGTGAATGCTGATTTTTCTTTAATATAGACTCAGCCTGAACCATTAGTTTGTATTTTCAGGTAAAATGAAAATAAACCAGAAAGGCTCAGTCACACCTGAGCACAATGCAGAACTAACATGGAAGGCAGTAATTTGACCTCTCTTATGTAAGCAGTGTTTGAATGGCTCCCCATCCAAAAGGAAGGATGTAAAAGGCTTTATTGTAAATATTTCTTATCTTTTGTGCATTTATTTGTTTGTAATGAACTAATCTCTAACAAGCTAGGATGTGATTGTATTCAATATAAACATATCAGCGGCAACGTTTAGCCTAAAGGTTTTATGAGATTGATTTAAAAAGTTAAATTTAGATTTAAAGGCACTGTAGTCACACTTAATTTTTTATCTATACATACTTGAGTCTCTTAAACAGTGACCTTAAATTTGACAGGAATGAGACATTGAAGGAGATTGCAATGAATGAAATAATGGTTTATCCAAAAGCTATTTTGAGGGAGTTGATTTCTTACAGTATATCCATCAGCCAGCATTTTAGTGTAAAGGAAATCTTCAAACAGGTAAAAAGAAAATTTCTTTTGCTTACTGGTATATTATTGTTTTACTTTAGAGAGAATTTATATTACCTTTAAAATTCTGATTATATGAAGTACTGTTTCAACCGTTGAATAAAGTGATTTCGGTAGAGATAGCAGAGGGAAACCAAAATATTTATCAGTCCCACACTTTTAACTCTGTCCTTGTCACAAACAGAATTTTAGCAAATTCACTTGGGGTTTGAACAGAAAACTACAAGGTAACAGACTTAAAGTAATTGATTTGAGTGGTACAGGTTCTTTAGATAGTGAGTGGTCTATTCAAGACTGTCGTGTCTTACTGAAATAGATACATTTTGAGAAGGGATATGGGTTTCTTCGAAGAAAGCAAATCCATATTTTAAAATGGTGTGGTGGGTGTTTTTTGTTGTTGTTTTGCTTTTAGAACTTGCAAGGCACAACAGACTCCAGAGTTCAAGATCAAGATAATACCTCAACAGTCCAAACAGGTATTTCTGCTTGGTTGGTTTTCAATCTGTATTTCTTTGGATTGTAACCAGAAGAACTCTGCTTTACCTGTAAATAAGTAGTTGAGGCTTCAGAAGGTGAACATATGGTGGAGTAGCAAGCTGAGAGCATCAAGGAAGGAGAGGAAAATCACAGAGTATCCTGAGCTAGAAGGGAACCATAGGGATTGTGAAAGTCCAACTCTTGGCCCTGCCCAGACACCCCAGCAATCCCACCCTGTGCATCTCTGAGGGCATTGTCCAAAGTGTCCTGGAGCTCTGGCAGCCTTGGGGCTGTGCCCATTCCCTAGGGAGCCTGGGCAGTGCCCAGCACCCTCTGGGGAAGAACCTTTCCTGATCTCCAGCCCGACCCTCCCCTGGCACAGCTCCAGGCATCCCTTGGGTCCTGTCCCTGGTCAGAGAGCAAAGATCAGAGCTGCCCCTCCGCTGCCCTCGAGAGGAGCTGCAGCTGCCAGTGAGGTGTGACCTCAGTCTTCTCTTCTCCAGCTGAACCAAATGCCCTCAGCCACTCCTTGTATGGCTTCCTCTCCTGACCCTTCACTATCTCTGTGTTCCTCCTTTGGAGATTCCTGTAATAACTTTAGGTCTTTCTGACATTGTGGCATCCAAAATTGCCCCCAGGGCTCGAGGCAAGGACATCCCATCCCAGAGCAGAGCAGGATGATCACCTCTCTCAGCTGGTGCCAGAAGATAGGGACAGTTGTCAGAAATCAGCTGGAGAAACAAACCTAACACAGAAACAGGTGATCTTGGCACAGGAAATTGAAGAAACAGAGGAAGAAGAAGAAGAAGAGGAGAGCATCATTCCTCATAAAAGTGAAGAAAATGAGCATGCAGAAGAGGGACTAAGCATTACACAGGTAAGTGAGCAAGAGAATAAATTCGAAGGTGAAGGCAGTCCTGTCCAAAATAAGGAGGAATAGGAAGTCTTTTTGCTGAGAATGAGTAGATAGTCTTTTTTGCTTAGTTTGCTTACAAAGCACACAGGGCTGTAGATCCTTTTACGGGAAAATGGAGTGTATAAAAGAGTTCACAACCATTCTTTTGGATCTTTTACCCTTGTAGAAACCCTTTGCATCATTTTTTAAGTCTTTTATCACACTGTTCTCAGCCTGTGATGAATGTTTTAAACCAAGTATTTGTACCTAAGTATTAATTTTTCTGTTTCCATGAATTTATTACCATAACGAAAAACCTTTTAAAACATTGTCAACTCTGCCTATGTCTTGCTGGCATATAAATATATAAATATGGATATATGTGTTTGCGTGTATATATATATGTAAATATAAATATATAAATATTGCCAGCGCTGTGTAAATGTCCAAACTGAGAATGAGAAAATTATTCTAAATATCCTTAGGATTCTTACACTAGCTGGTGCACTGTTGATTGTATGCTGATACTTTAAAAAGTAACGGGATAATTTCCAACAATTTCCCAGTCAGTGTCCAAGAGCAGCGAGGGAGAAAGTGCTGAAATTGTCACAGAGGTTTTTTCCACTGCTAGTGGAAACACTTACACTGTTCTTGGAGTTGAAGAGGCAGGAAAGACTGACATCACAGAGAGTGATTTTATAAAATATGAAAAAGAAGGACCACTTCCTGTGTACCTGAAATATGTACTTCTCACAGAAGCCACATTTCTTGAACTGAAAAAAAGGTGAGCTGAGAACAATTTCTGTCCTTTCTTTCTCTTTATGTGATAGACAGATTTCAACTGTTTAGAAGAAACATTTGAGTAGAGAGGCAAAAGTTATTTATTACTATTATATAATTAGATATTTATATAGTTAGATTTTTAATTATAAAATGATGATTGGACAATTATTATGTTATTCCACTTGATAAATTGATACAAATATGAGAAAATATTTACATTGCTTTGTATCCATGGATGTCAAAGTACCAGAAAAATTTACCTTTACAGAACATTCATATTTTATGGAAAATTATTTAGTGAGAAAACATATTACAGAAAGACAAGGAATTTGCCTAAATTTACTGCAGAGCCATGAAGGTAAAATGCCTCCAACTCAGTACTAAGCAGCTAACTCAAAAACTGTCAGTGTTGTGCAAATGTACTGAAACTGTACCTTCCTATAGCTAGAAGTTGAATTTTTAGAAATAATACATTCAATATATTCTTAGTTATTATTTACTATTCCTGGTTGTAATATTTCTTTTTCAATCATAGGATTCGCCTTTGCTTTTTTGAACACTTGGAGGAATGGTTTGCAGAATCCTTGTCCAACTCCTATGTCTTCGTAGCTGCCAAGAAAGAGGAGCTGAATTTAATACTTCTGCTGCATCTTAAGTTGCATCAACAAAAGCAGGAGGAGATACAGACAAATATCTACAATGTTCGAGCTGGTATTGACATTTTTTTGTGTTGTGAGCATCATATGTCTTCATTTAGAGATAGGACTAAGTGGTCCAAAATCTGTTTCAGCAGTAGTGGAGTCAGTAATAGAGGACAACAGAAAGCAGTTGAGTGTCTTTGAATTCCCAGTATATTATGCTACTCAGGTATTTTTTTAAATTACATTTATTTTCTATAGCTCTTCCTGGTTTGTGCTGTGTTATTTTTGGAAAAATGGACAGCAGTGCCTTGATTAACCACTGGATTGTAGATGTTGGACATTCTATTGTCAATGTTGGTGAATTCTCATCCACCTTGAAATTATGTAACAAGAGTTTGTGGTGTACAAAAAATATTTTTCAAGTGTTGCAGAAAAAGAAGGTAGCCAGTTGAGGGAGCCAAAATGTCAGGGCCAAGCTTCTGAAAACAGGAGAGGAAGGATTTAACTCTGATATATCACTGAGCAGCTACAGAGCATCTTCTAATGAAAACTTTTTCTGCATGGGAAGTGTCAGGCTTTTATGGTGAGAAGAAAATATTTTAGACAGGTTTGTTGGTCTTTAACACATAAGCTAAAAATACTTCTTTTGGAAAACAGGCAAATAATTTTTCAATTTCTCTTTTTCTGTAGAGAGGAGAGGTGCTTCTTCTGGTAGCTTTCTTGAGGTGATTGGCTGGCTCTTGATTTATGCAGCTACCATTGCAGAAGAGAGACCAAAACTGATTTTTTTCTTTCCCTCACAAAACCAGGAAAAGTGTATTTTCCATTAAAAAAATACAACTTTTAGTTTTGTTACAAGACTGAGAACAGAGAGATAATGGAGATGTCAGCAATGACCAAAAATAAAAGGAAAATGATGCTTAGAGCAAACAGGGGACATTTGTGGTTTGAATGGATTAAGAGCTGTTAAAGATAGATGTCTTTCACAGGAGAAAAATCAAAGAAACCAAATTGAATGTATTTAATTTGTATGTTTTAGCTAATCTGAGGTCTGGCTTTGTTTATTTTGCTGCTGCTGCTGTTCACAGGTTAACTGGGCATTGTGATAGCTCACAGTAAAGAGGAAATAATGTCCCTATTGTAAATTCCCTTTCTTCTCAGCGGAGCTGTCACTTCACAAAGAGCACCTTGAGTGCCACTGTGCAGTGCTGGCAGAAGTCCTGAAAAAGGAGAAAGATGCATTCCTCAGATTTTCAGACCAGCTCAATAACTTCAACACAAGCTTTCATTCCCGAGTCCATAACTTGGAGTATGACTTGCTCCACGCTCCTGTGACTGAGCAGTAAGTGTGCCACTGCTGTTGCTGTGAATATCCCTAGTTAAATACTCCTGATTGCTGTCTGGGATGTTTATGGTTTGCATTCTGAACCTGTTTTATATGTCACTGCTCTTCAATGAAGACTACTTCATAAAACTTGAAAACATAAAGAATTTCATTCTCTTTCCCTGAAGAAATTACAATCAGGACTGGACTCTTGGAAATTCTCATCTCCTTTCAAAGTCCTGGCAGTATTTAAGTCGAAAAGATGTTTCATCTGTTTAGATTTTATCCAGTTTACTGAACGTGCACAGTAATATCAGTTGACTAATTGTTTTGGAAGAAAAGTGCCCAATAGTATCAGCTGCTGCTGATACCTTCCATGGGTTCATCCAAACCATCCCAGCTCAGGGAGTTGCTTTGAGAGTCATAAATAACTTCGGAGTCCTCAATTTTTTTCATGTCTTTACAGCCAGAAGTTGCTGAATCATCATGTGTGATCCTCATTAGACATGTTTTCCCTGTCTTTTATTATTTGCTGTTAGGTTAGTTTATTCCCGCAATAATCTGGAATCAGAGCTCCACAACCATCTGGAATCAATCAGGGTTACTGTGAGAAGTTACCAGCAGCACTTGGAGGAAGCTTTAGGAAGATTAAGGGACTCAAATGTGGGTTTTCTCAAAAGTTGCAGGTACATAGATTTCATGGAATTGTTGTTTATAAATGGTGATTTAGTTCTGGGAATCGGTGTTTGTTGCATAGGCAGAACAGTAAAAGTAAAGTTTATTTTGTTATTCATCTAGTTTCCTATTTAAAAAAAGAAATGTAGCTTGTTAAAACCACAATTATAATGCTGTTTTTATCACATTTGTGTTGTTTCAGGGCTGTTTAGCTAGAATGGTCTTGGAATAAAATGACTCAAAGCCAATTGTTTATATGTTTGCTTTCAGATTATTTTCAGAGGGTGGTGACTTTGCATCTGAGGAGGTAAAGCTTTTCAACGAGTGTCTTCAGAAAGAAAGTAAGGAAATTGACTCCTTTGAAAGTTCAATCAAGGCAGATGTAGAGAAAATAAAATCGAGCTGCTTGGAGCAGGTATGCAGAATTACATTATTTCAAAAGATGTTTTCTATTGACATATTTGATGTGATTTGCAGTCAGCCTGCTTTCAGATTAGAACAGTAAGTCTGTCCTGTTTGGCAGTTAGATGATGGAAAAAATTAGTAGAACGGCAAGTTCTATCATTTACGTTTTAAAAAGTGAAAAATTATCTTGTCTTGTCTTTTGTTTCTAACATTCTTAAAGGCTACTGAACTTTTCAAGCAGTCTGGAAAAAAGTTTGCTTCTCTGTCTCTGGGTCGAGCCTTTATGGAGAAGGTCCATCAATATTTGAGAAAGCTACGACAGCAAATCAAATCAGAGGTACAAACAGAAACATCAGAACTTTGCTTAAATTCAATATAATAATTTTCTTTTATACCTTTGAGGAGATTTTAGCTGAATTCACAGTAGACAAATATTACATAATTTTTAATGTTAATTTAAAATCTGTTTTCTGTCACAATCCACTTAAAAGTTTATTTTTATTACTGCTGCAGCTGTGCTGGAACACTGTGGCCTTGCAGCACATGGAGTATGTACATCTGAATTCACCAATATTTTTGTATGGTGCAGCTGCTTTTGTGAATTACTGTTTTCAGCTTCTCCTCTGGGTACCGGGGGTTTTTAACCAGTTTTTGTCAGTGGTTCTGATGGTTTGAAACTGGAGCCTCGGAAATTCCTGTGAATGGGGATTTGACTTATCCAGTTTTCTAAAGTTTGCTTCTGCTTTAGGTAGCGAATTCCAATTTGCAGTCAGTCACATTAAAGTCTTACCTGGAAAAGCTCCAGCAGAAGAGAGATGCTTATGTTCGTTCTACTGCAGATAAAGAAGTAACTTCTAATCAGCAGGAAATGGTATTTAATTTGACTTATTAATTGTTATTAATTTGGTATAAACTAATATTTTTCAGGAAGACTTATGTTTCCTCATATTTGGGGCTGGGCAGAAACACAGAATTTTTGCTCAGAAAGGTTCTTGTCCTGGATTCATCTGGGGAAGAGTTAATTTCTTCTCAGTAGCTGTTACAGTGCTGTGGTTAGGATTCAGGATGAGAGTGGTGTTGATAACTCAGTTTTTGCTAAGTCCTGTTTATCCTAAGCCAAAGACTTCTTTTTCCTTGTCTCCTGCTCTGCCACTGAGGAGGTTCACAAAGGAAACTGGGAGGGAGCACAGCTGAGACAGGGGACCTGAATTGGCCAGAAATGATATTCCAGCCCCTGGAATGTCATGTTCAGTCTATAAACTGGGGGAGTTATCTGGAGGGGCCAGTCTGGGTTCAGGAATGGGGGTCTGGCATTGGTCAGCAGGTGGTGAGCAATGGTATTGTGCATCAATTGTTTTTCTCTTCTTACTGTCATTATTATTATTATTATTATTATTATTATTTACCATTATCACTGTATTTAATTTTATTTTCAATGATTAAACTGTTCTTAACGTACAAGTTTTCCTTTGATTCTCCTCCCCATTGCACCAGGGCAAGGAGGGAGAGAAGGAGGATTGAGCTGTGTGGTGCTTAATTTCCAGCTGGGTTTAAAACCCCAACAGTCCTTTTTGGACAGTCAGTACCTGTTTTCCTGTTTGCCAAACCAAAACCTCAGCTTCTTATACAATCTCATTGCTTCCATGTATGTGTACATAAACTGGTGACAGAACAAAGGCAAATAATATTGTTTGCATGAGTCAGCATGTGTGAAAAGGTTAGAACAGTCAATTTAGTGAATACCATCTGTATTACCATATCTTTCAGGTTTTAACTTCTGAAGAGTTGTATGCTTTTGCCAGAGAGGTGTTGGAAGAGCTGAAAAAGAGGAGCAAGTATCTTGACTGCTTTGTAGTAAAGGCAGAGATCCCCTGTGCCACTGTAAGATAACACTCACGTTCTCTGTATTTTATTTAATATTGAGAGAATTTTCATATGTACATGTTTTAATGGATTTTCAGAATTTGTGCTTTGAATTCTCAAATGAAAAAACAATCTGCATTATGCCAAGGTGTCAAAGACACTGTAACATTAGGACAGCCTTTTTAAGAGGCTGAGTAAATCAGCAAGTTTCCAAAATGCTGAAGAGATACATGGCTCTGCAATAAGTTGCTCAGTTCTTCACAAGAGTTTGTTTTCAAGGTGTAGCACTGTTCAGAGTTATATATTTCACAGGTTTCTTTAAAATATTTTTTTTTAAATCCCAAATGTGTCCTGAAAGGATTTTGTTTTTATCTAACAGGTTGTGTTTTCTTTCCTCCCTTTTCTGGAAAGTCTGTCTTTAGTTTGTCATCTCAGTGGATCATTGTTTTAAGAGTATATCCTTAAATACTGTTTATGATGATTATGAGAACCTATTTTTAACTGCTTTGAAGTGTTTTAGAGCTGAATAGCTGTAACAACATTGCTGTTAGCATGACAAAAAATTTATTTCAGCCTGTGAAGCAAGATATTGTCTGTTTAAAAAATCTGCTCTAGCAGTCAGTCATTACATGGAATGCATGGACTGCCTGCTGTGGTCTACAGGGCTTCATTTTTCTTCCCATTTCAGGAGGCCTTCACCACTGCTGACACAGACGGGACATTGCAAGAGCACTTAGCCACTCCCGACGTGGATGGGAGGTCACAAGATTTCATTGCTCCTGCTGTTCCAAAAGAGAGTCTTGGAGATGAGAGCAAAAGGATGGTGATGGGACTGGATCCTGACAAATTCCCTTTGTTAAATCCAAGCGGAATGGATACATCAATATTTGATGATTTGGCAATAAAAGTTATTGGAAATTTAGCTGGGTAAGTACTTGTTTGTCTAAAGGTATTTTTCTGTCCATGTCTTTATTTATGTTTTCTTTGCCCAGAACTAGTGAATAGACTGGTCATAGGTAATACTACTAGATATTTTCTAATCAGTCTAAGTTTAAAAATTAGTCTAGCTGAGACTTTCTTTTTAAACCCAAGATTTCTCATAGCCAAAAATACCCCTTTGTGAGTGACATCTAGTATACAATGATAAATTTTAGGTATTTAATTTTTGTCTTCTAGAGCCTTATTTTCTAGAGCAGGTTATTACCTGCTACCTAGGTGACTGAATATACAAAGTGTAAAATGAAGAGTGTGACAAATGTTTGATTTGCAAATAGTATTTTAATGCAGTTTTGCCTGTAGAAATTCCAAAATTCCAGTTAAACAATCAGTCCTATGAAATCACTTCTATATACACTGTCAGTTGTAAAAGTAACCCTATCTGTTAAATATAATCTCAGAAATTTAACTCACTTAGCACATGATAGGGATAGAGAACTTGCCTAGTTTGCTGTATAATATAGTATAGAACATAAAATGACAGGATATGCAGTAGTACTTAGCTCTTTATTTTTTTTTCTTTTCAGATTTGACCCATCAAAAAAATATCGAGACCTAAATCGGGGGAAAAAGAATCCAGGTGTGCCTGTATTTCTTTTAATATTTTCTTTTCATCTAAATTGTAGTTCCTGGCATTTTACTGCACAGGTCTAGCATGATCCAGGCCAGTGACTTCTATGCTAGGAACTCTGAGATAGTTGTGCTTCTCAGCTCTTTCCCTAAGTATCTTTACTTAGATAAAGATGATTTGGGGCTCCTAAAGCAATGAAAACTGCAGAATAAGATAATAATGTTATAAAGAATACCTGTGTTTGTGATAGCAAAGGGGAAGTGGGGTTGAGAAAAGAAGCAGAGCAGAAATCATGAAGTATATAGGGAATCAGGGATCCTTCTCACACTGTATCATCATCTACTCAAAGGTGAGCACAGAGGTAACCCCAGATACTTCCTACCTAGTGCTCCCATTTCCTCCTCTCTCTTCTGCAGCCATTTCCAAAGCTATCCTCAATCTCTTCCACATCTGCAAGTCCCCATGACCACCAATACTATGAATGTAGCCCATTCATTCTCCTTCTTCACCTGCCTCCAATTTGCTTTAAATCTCTTCCATCTGCCATGTATTTTCTGTGACATTCCTGGGACTCATGCCCCAGCACATAACCTTTACTGCTGTTGCCACTTCTGGGTTACTTCAGGCCTGTCTGACAGAAATGATTGTTCCTGTAGTTGTCCCCTCCATGTTGTAAGGAAACATTATAGAAATAAGAATACAAAATATATATATATACACATAAAAAGCACTTCAGTTGGCATTTGTGCAATATTCTTCTTTCCTTGTTAACTATAAGCAGTTCTTCCCCCAGTAAAGAAGAGGGTATCTGATGCAAATTCTCAGAAGTCTACTAGCAAGAGGTCATCTCGGGATGAAACCAAGCGAAAAAAAAGGTGAGACCCTAAAAGGAGGAATTCCACTTCAAGTATTCCTATGCAAGAAATTTACCTAGACTTTGTCTATTAATTGAAAGATTCTTACCTCTTGTTTGTATAGCCTTCTTTCCATCTACTGCTTATCACTTGGAATCTCTTACCTAGTTATGTCCACATGATGAGTTTTGTGGGGTTTTCCTCCCAGATTTTGACTGGAAAAATATTATTATTTTTCTCCTTCATCTGCTGCTGTTTTGTATTTTGAAGTTGTTGAAATACTGTTTAACCCTTAAATCAATATGGCTTAATTTTCAGGTGTGTCTAAATAGTTTGTCTTCAGCTGAGTCCACAGATTGATGAAATGAGCTACTGTAATAGTGAAAACAACAAAAAAATTTTCAACAACTGAGAGAACCTTTTTCCATCAAAATACTATATCTTATCATTGTTTGGGAACTGTATTCCCAAACCATGATAATATACAGTATTTTGTATATGTGCTACTAGCAAAACACTCCAAAACCCTGTGCTGCTTGCTCACTCCCCTTTCCCTGCAGCAGCTGTTATAATTGAAAGATTCTTACCTCTCCTGTGTATAGCCTTCTTTCCATCTACTGCTTATCACTTGGAATCTCTTACCTAGTTATGTCCACATGATGAGTTTTGTGGGGTTTTCCTCCCAGATTTTGACTGGAAAAATATTATTATTTTTCTCCTTCATCTGCTGCTGTTTTGTATTTTGAAGTTGTTGAAATACTGTTTAACCCTTAAATCAATATGGCTTAATTTTCAGGTGTGTCTAAATAGTTTGTCTTCAGCTGAGTCCACAGATTGATGAAATGAGCTACTGTAATAGTGAAAACAACAAAAAAATTTTCAACAACTGAGAGTTTAGAAGAGAATTCTGAGAACCTTTTTCCATCAAAATACTATATCTTATCATCGTTTGGGAACTGTATTCCCAAACCATGATAATATACAGTATTTTGTATATGTGCTACTAGCAAAACACTCCAAAACCCTGTGCTGCTTGCTCACTCCCCTTTCCCTGCAGCAGCTGCAGAGGAAAATTGGAGGCACAAAAGGTGAAGATAAAGTTGAGATAAGAACAATTTATTAGAAATAGCAATGAGATAAAAAAAACTAATAGTAACAGCAGCAATGTTAACAGCAAAGTGTACAAGAGAGGCAAGTGATTCACATGTGAATGCTCACCGTGAGGAAACCCCTGAGACTGCCACCACATTCCCCAACAGCAGGGACCTTTCCAGCCACCCCCACAATGCTGAGAGGTAGAGAATAACCTCCAGCTCCTGGCCATGTCCTGGCCATACGCCCTCCTGGCTTAACCCTGTCCTGGCCAGAACCAGGACACATAGAATACTAGTTCTAGAGTTAGGTTTTTACTAATTTTTCTTCAGTTTCATGTCTGTCATATGACTGACTAGCTCAAATCATCAGCCAGAGAAGGACAGCACTTGTGGACAGTTTCAAATTAATGTTTTTCCTTTCCAGTGAAAAAGGCAGAAAATCTCTTACCAAGGATGAAAGATCCCAGCTATTTGGAAATAATGCTACAAAGTCTGAGTAAGTCATATATTTCCAGAACAAGAAGTTAATCTATAAAAACCCTCTATGTATGTATGTATGCATCCATCTATATATCTGTCTATCTATCTATCTATCTATTTATCATTGTGACCTATAGAGTTCATCATTGAATTTTGAGGTATTTAGCCTTGATATTTATAGGTCAAAGTACTTCCAGAACAGTTCCTTTTGCAGTGTAATAACAGTAAAGATGTAAGTCATCTGGTTCATTCTGTCTAATATCTGAAGTGGGGGTCTTACTGGAGCCTGTTTTGTACTTTTATAAGTGGGTGGGGAATGTCAAATAGCCTCTCTTTCAATTATTTTCACACCTAAGAAGACAAATACATTTTATATCTTTATTCTTGTACTCAGTATTCCATTAATGGGTATAAATTAGGTTCCATTCCCCTTCTCTAAGAAAATTATGTATTGTTTCTTCATATGTGCAGCTGTAATCTGTAGAACTGAGATATTTTGTACATGCCATGCAAAACTATTCAAATTAATGCTTAAGATGTTTAAGTGTTTGGGAACTTTATTCCATAGTGTTTCAAAATAATTCCAGTAAACAGCTAGACCCACCTTGAAATATTTTTGCTTATCTGAAATGCATGGTAAGCTCTTTGGGCACAGGAATTTGGCTAAGATTGCTTTTTTGTGACAGTGACATGGCAGTGCTCTCCAGTGAGCAATTACAATAGCCTGTTGTACTGGCTGCATCAGAAGAGAATCTGTGCTAATGTGGGGGAAGGTTCTTAAGCATTCTGAACATTGGTTTGTGTGTGCTCTGAAAAATGTACTAAAATTAACCTGAACAAAATACTTGAAAAACAATTAATATTCAGTGTGATTATTTAACAGTGTGATCATGTTTTTAATTTTTTAATTTTTTTTTTGGTTTTCAGTACTTTTAAGGGGATTATTATGGATATTCTCTGTAATGGTAACAACACCTTGCTCTGCCTTGGTGAGGTAAGGAAATGTCATGTTCTTTAGTTGGTTCTGCTTTCATAGGTGTACTCCTGTGTCAGAGAAATTATTTGTTTCTTTCAATATTTGGTAGACTGTCCAGAAAGTTTCTTTTCTTCTCCTACTGTTATTTACCTACATGTAATGTGTTTAAATGTGTTATCAACATTTTTTCTGGTTTATCTTTCCCTTCTGCAGGAGTTCTATGGAGAAAAGAAGAATCCTTACTTGGGAATGCTTGAAGATCTGCCAGACACATTTGAACATTGGGCAGAAATGCTCAGAGTGAAACTACTGTCATACCAAAGGCAGACAGATGATTACTACAATTTCTGTCTTAGAGGTAAATTCATTCAATTAAGACTTGCATTTTCATGTGTATGTAATTTTTCAGTATGAAAGCTGAAAATTGCAGTGATCAAGAATTATGTTGTTGTCGTCACAATCCATCACACTCAGTGGAAAAATTCCAGTTGACTTTAATGGAAATTGAGCCAATATTCTTTTTGTATGTATTATCAGCTACAAAAAGTCTAGCAGAAGGGCACTTGACAAAATTAAATGTTACATCTTTGAGCAAGTGTATGTTTCTCAAAGCATTGCAACTAGAAAAAGCAATGCCAGAGACACAATCTCTGTGAGAGAAAATTCCAGGCTGTTTGTGTCACATGCACACCCTGTTTTTTCCAAAAAGAATTTCGGGACCAGCTGAAGTGCTTTGAGGAGGAGCTCTCTTCTGTTTCCCAACTGGTCGTGGAAAGTCTTTTAAAAGAACATGAGCAGAAACTCAGCTCTTTTACTGGTCATATTCAGCATCTCTTCAACAGACAGCTGAAAGATTGGGAGGATGTGAAGGTATGTATCATGGACATTCTGGAATGCTTTGTAGTGTAACCCATGGTAAGTGCATCAGATTGATAACATTTTATTTTTCTCATTCTCACTGTTTGCTTCATCACTCTCTGCTGAGCTGACCACAGATACAGTTTTCTGTGTTTCCAGTTAGTCTGTTTAGTTCTCCTGGAAGCTTTGGATTTTGTGGAACTCTGTCCCTTCTCTTCCAGCTTCCAGCACTGGGCTGCCTCTTTCTAATCTTCTCAGCTCTGCCTGTCATCTTACACTTGGATTGTCAACTCTGTGAGGTCTGTGACCTTGGAGTATGGCCAGACAGCTCCTACTGTATGGGTACACTCCTTTGTAAGAACTGTGATGTAGTGATAATGAAATACATAAATGATAGTACATCATGAAATACATATAATACATAATGAAATTCATAAAAGAGGCATATTTTGTCAAGCAATATCAGAACTGAGAACAGTATCATAATGGAGATCACACAGAAAATGCTAAAGTGTCTAGAAATTGTGTCTGAGTATTAAAAATTAGGTAAAAATTACAAATACAGAGATACAAAAAATACCTTACTTACCTCGTGGTGGAAGAGATGATTTTTTGTTGAAAATAAATCCCAAAGTGAGACCAGAGGCCAGCAGAGAGACAATCTGGTGCAGATTGCACTGCAAAGCTTCATATCGAGACAGCCAAGAAGTAGCTCCATTTTCCTTGTCTTTCTGAATACCTTAATAGAAAATGTTTGTGGTTTACTTCTTCCTTTTTATGACTCACAGTATATTCTTTACTGAAGGCATTTCTTTCTTACATACTTGCTTAAAGACTACACACTGGAGAAAATTACATTACTCCCTGGGACACCCAAATAACTCCCTTCAGCTGGAGGCTTTGTGCCAAGAGGAAATAAAAAGGCAAAAAGATCAAACTGATGGAGTTCACCTGAACACAAAGATGCTGCAGGTAATTGTAAAACCCTTGCTTAATGTGAACTGAAATGTTGTATTTGGAAAGAAGGGTGTATTTTGGATACAGTTTTTCCTCCCCATCCAAAGGAAACTTGACATTTTTTTTCAGTTTTAAGCAATCCTGTTCATATATTGCTATATTTTAAGTTATGTACTGTCAGCATTAGATGAACATAGACATAAATATATCTGCACACACACAGCTGCTTAGATACATTGTAGAACTTATTGATATTTTATGTCATTCATAGAAGCTATTGGCTGTGAACTTAATGGTGGGTAGGAGTATTGGCTGTGGAGGTGACATCCTCTGGTTAGTTCTCTTACTTCCAGACAACAGATGCCTGGAAGGGTTTCTTCTTTGTGCATTTCATTAGTGCAAATAATGACACTTTTCTACATAAGATTAAGAACTGCAATAAGCTGAATTTACAGGAGAGATTCAGGAATCAAAATATTTTCCCCCCTTTGCCCCCTGGGTTAATTGAAGGTTGGTTCCCCAGCATTAAAGCCTGTTGCTTAGTTCTCTCAGGCCACTTACTCCAAATTCTACACTGTCTGCAGAGTACTGGTATTTTTAATTCCATAGTATCTCCTTCTACTCCTAGCTCTGCATGCAGACACAGAAACACAAATAGGTATTTGAGAGTAACACCTGGGCTAAGCACTTCCACCCAAAGTACCTGAATTCTAGAATGATCTTCTCTTTGGCTGGAAGCTGTTTTTATCATGTTTAACCCAAATGTGTAACTACTAGGTACCTATACTCAAAACTTTACAGTTTTTTGATCTTTAGATAATCAGGCAATGTTAAGAATACTGCAGAGACACTTCAAGACCCTTTTATGTGCAACTTTGAGCCTCATGTCTGTTATCTGCAGCTGTTGTGGAATGCCAGGGTTTGATATTTGTGTAGTCTTTCAGAGCCAAGTTAAAAGAAGAGGAGATCCAATTATCAAAGGAATTCCTCTCACTTGTCTCCAATGTTATAACAGGATTGTGCTGCTGAGTGTGCTCAGAGCTTTTTTTCTGCACTGGCTGCCCTCACTGAAAAGCTCCTGTTGGAACTAGATGAAACCATCACTGCTGATGATGTAAAAGTAGCAGGTAAGAAAAGAAGAGATTGCTTGTTCAGGCCTCCGCTCCCTTGTCAAAGATTGCAGCAGTCTGTCCCTAGGAAGAGGAGGCTTTGATATTAAGATTATTTGATTTAAATTAAAAAATTTGCGTAATAAAACTTGCAAAGCTATTTTTTGAGTGTGAAGAGCATTGAGCTGCACAATTATTCCAAAACAGTTGTATTCCTGACAGTGTTTTGTTTCTGCTGAGCATATCTTCTGTTACCTCCCAGGAACTGAAATACCTACAGAGAAGACGCCAAGTTTAACGTGTCGTAAACAAACTGAACTTCCTCTAGGAACCTCCAAAGTTCAACAGTTAGTCAAACGAGGAAGGAGGTACTATTTGGAGATACTGAACACTGTTCTGCCTAATTCATTTTCTCTGAACTGATAACAACTGACAGTTTTTTGCTGCATTTGTTGAAACTGCAGCTCATCATTAGTAACGTCATTGAACTAGTAATGGGGTAGTTGGAGTGGGTAATGATTTTAAAGAAAGAATTGCAATGGGTCCAAATAAAAGTGAATTACATATAGTAGTGTAAAACAATACCATGTCACTGCTATTGCTATGCCACTTGTTTGCCACTAGTTATCAATTAATTACATTCAGATCTCTGAATGGTCTGTGTATTGTCATTCAGAAGAAATGAATTCTATACTGTGGAGAGATCCTGATGCTTTAAAAGAACAGGTGGTTGTACTAAACAAAGATGTTTTAGGGTAAACCTTTTGTGGGGAAAAAAATAACATTGATCTTTGGCACCTTAATCCAAGCAATGTGAATTAGTATGATCTGTTCTCTTTTCTAGCTTCTTTTCTCATGTGTTTGTTTTGGCTGGTTTGGTTTTTTATAGGTCTTGGCCGGGAATACCTGAGACTATTGTTCCCGACACTCCAGACTATATTCTTTGCAGAGGAACTGCGTGCAAGCAATGTGAATTGGTGTGATGTGTTCTCTTTTCTAACTTCTTTTCTCATGTGTTTGTTTTTCTTTTCTCATGGTTTGGTTTGGTTTTTTATAGGTCTTGGCCAGGAATACCTGAGACTGTTGTTCCCGACACTCCAGACTATATTCTTTGCAGAGGAACTGCATCAGTTTCAACAGCTACAACTACCCTGGGCCATCTGGCAGTGGTGGATGCAAGACAAGCTGCATATAAGGTGGGTTTGTGGGGAAAGACTCTTGAGTGTGCTGCTGCTGTTATGGGTTTGGTTTTTTAAGAAGACAATTACAGAATCTTTGTGGTGTGTGGAGGTTTTTAACATAGACAGTGTTTGCAGATCTTAAGGCCATATTATTCGTGTGTAGGAATCCTTTCTCTTGTCCATTCCCTTGTGATGCTGTCCGAAGCAGACAGGGTCGGTTCCTCATGCAGTCTTCTCAATCAGAGACATGACAAAGGGGAATTGTTTCAGCAGAGAAGCATGGATGGTGTCAGAAACAGGACACTGCATTTTGCAGCATCATAGTTCCAAAAGCAGCTGTGTCCCAGTGCCATTTCAGTCATGCTTGTTTTCACTCACCTTTCTTTCTGAAGCCTTTAGCTCCAGACTTAGATCACAAAAGCTGATTTTTCCATAAAAGATGAAGAGATGTAAAATATTTCATACCTATCTTATATCCACAACTATCACAGATGACAGTTTCCACCATCAAAATAATCACTCTTTCTTCACTGAGTCTGTTAAAAGAATGCAGACAACCCTGCCTCTGACTGGCACAGACAATAGTTCTCAAAACAGCAGTGCTCAGCATTTAGGAGAATATTTTTATGTTAAATCACTTGGAGATGTCTTTATGCATCTGACCTGGAAGTAATTGTACTCCCACTGAACTAAATTAACTTTTTAAAAATATCTGCTTTTAATAGGGGAATACTGCCAATCGTGGCGAATGCCATCAAAACTATCAGTTTGCATGTGTGTTTTATGTATCTAGTTCTGGTGCCTAGGAGCCTGATTACAGCACAGATTTGAAGGGAATGTGGTTGTTTGGATACAAATGGTTGGATAAAAGGATTGGATATAGAAGGCACACACAGGAGTATTTTCCTGCATGTGTATTGCATTAAAAATACAGTACTGTATGTTTTGGAGCATGGACTCTTTAAGAATATTAAAGTGCCTTGAGCAAAAGGATTGGCTATAGAATGCACACACACCACAGGATTATTTTCCTGCACGTGTGTTGCATTAAAAATACAGTACTTTATGTTTTGGAGCATGGACTCTTTAAGAATATTAAAGTGCCTTGAGGTTTTCGTGGTAGTCTACAAGTTTCTGTCTAGAGGAAATAACTTTTTAGCAGTTTTGTAATAGCTCAGTTCATACCTTTGAGTTACAAAGCTCCAGGAAGAGGCTGAGTGCATCCCGTGTAGTCTTGAGACAAGGCAACTCTCTGCTCTTAGGAACTAACGGAAGTGAGATGAAGGTCTTGCATTTTAGCAAAATTTAAATATTGCTGATAATTCAATTTCAGAAGTCTTTAAAAGGAACACAGAAGGAACACAGCTAATAGTTAATTATTCATATAGTTCTGCTGTCAAAAGCAAAAAATAAGTGGCCTCTATGCAGTCTTCTGACACAATGCATCAGGACCTGGATTTAGGCAAATAAAATGATATTTCATCACTACTAATTTTGTCCTCAATTGTTGGGTTTTTTTAATACAGAAATACAAAAGTAAAGTTGAACAGCTGTTTGCCCAGATCAAGGAAGAAAATGCAGCTCAGCTGCTGGCAATTCAGCGTTGGAATGATTGGTGGAAAGAATCTGTCTGGAAGATAAAGCGACTCTACGTCTGAGATCAGTCACGTTTTGCTGAGCTTTGTTGGTGTAAATTGACACGTTTATGTGAATGTCACTGATATTTTTTCTTTTATCTTATTAATCTGTTGCATTGAAAGAAGCTACGTTTTGCCATGTTTTTGTTTGTTTTGCCATGTTATCACTCGTTTCCTCATATGCAGTCTTAAGACTACTAATATGCTCATCTTTACATTCCCACCTGGTTTGGCTTACAGTATCATGTGTTACCATTCACATGTGTTTGTGCACATGAACCCTCTGTGCAAGAGCACTTAATGCATATCTGTTAGCAGAGTTTACAGGATTTTGTTGCAATTTAGCCCCTGAGAGCTGGTTGGGTCTGAAAACTCCCCAAGGCATGAATGAGAACTATCCCTAACCGAGCACCCTTGCATCAAGGCCCTGTGCCCAAGCTTCTCTGCATGGAGACCTCTGATTGGAAATGGCCAGCCTGAAAAAGATACACATTTTATGTTGCCTTGGTTCAACGAGCTTTGACTTGCCTACCTTTCCCATTCCTTGCCTCACCTCTCCTACCTTGTGTTGCCTACCCTTGCCTACCACTTTCTTTCATTGCCATGCTTTGCCTGCCCCTCCCTTGCCTTATCTATCCCTCTCTTGCCTTTCCTTCCCTTCCCCTCCTTTGCCTTGACCCTCTTTTACCTCTTACTTTCCTTGCCATGCTTTGCTCCTCCCTTGCCCCATTCTTTCCCCTCCCTCTTCCCTTGTCATGCCTTGTATTGATTGACCCTTCCTGTGACACTCCCTTGCCTTGCCTTTCTTTACCTTGCCCCTGTGACTTACCCCTCCTTGCCTTTCCCTGCCTCCATCTTGCCCCTCCTTTGCCTTGCCCCTCTTGTGTTTTCTCACCTTGCCTCTCCATTGTGTTGCCTTGTTTTTCCTTGCCCACCTGGGCACACCTGGGCCCCCAGGGCCTTTCCCAACAGGGACTTTCAGTCACTCTGCCCCAGCCTGGAACTGCAGGGGTTATTGTGCACAAAGTGCACTTGGCCTTGCTGACCCTCACACCACTGGTGCTGGCCCATCAATCCAGCCTGTTTGGGTCCCTCTGCAGGGCTGTGTTGGGGTGGTTTTCTATTCCCTGATTATCTGTTCTAGGCCCAGAAATGGTTGCTGTAGCTTTAAGGTGGGTCCAGGGAAGGGGGGAGCCTTGGGTCTTCGATGGGCTTTATTTAAAGCCTCACTGCCCAGGCATCCGTCGTGCTGTGCAGACGGTTTCCTTTTTTTGCTTAGCTAGCTTGGGTTTTATTAGCTTAGGCAAGAAGATGGTTTTCTTCCCTTTCCCTGGCCTTACTGTCTCCTTATTGGAGACAGCAGCAGCAATCTTTCAGTGGTTTATTTCTTTAATTGGTTGGTTTAATTGGTTCAGTTTTGGTTTTAGATCAGAGAGGACAATCAGTGGGAGATGAATTGGCCAGGAACCAGCGGGAAGGCAAGGGGCCACTCCATCCCAGCCCCAGACCTCAGAAAAGCTGAGGGAACAAGAGAAAGGACACCAAATTCACCAGCTTCATCTGCTGTGAAGAGGGGACTCACGCAAGTCATTTACCAGATTCTCATCTGTTTTACCCAAGCTGCTGCATGAGCCCTTTGGGATTTTTTCCATTCCCTGAGACAGGAGACACCACCATTTTTGTTCTCCCCACCACATTGCGGCCAACATTGTGGGTGTTTTCTTTTTCCCTTGCAATTGGTTTTTCTTTTGTTCCAGTGTGGGTGTGTGTATGAGGGGAGGGGAGGATAAGCTCTGACAATTCAATATTTAGCATTTCTTCTGGTTGTGTCACCCGTGCTGTGTGGGCACTCCGTCAAGGCCCCTGGACGTGAATGCTGGCCCTTTAGCCTGTAAAACAAAACTCACCCCAGCACTGTTGATGCCAGTATGGAGGAGGTGTTTGGCACTGCAGGGCAGCCCGAGCTGTAGGTGGTGGCAGGTTGTCTGTGTGATACAGGGTAGGTCACAAATCACTGTTGCCTCATTTTCTATTTGTGAACTACCATGAACCAGGATTTTCTAGAAAGGAACTGCTTTGCCTCTGTCGCAAACTCGATTTTTTGCTGCCAATTATTATTCCCAGCTGTATGTAGTATATTATCACCTTAGTGAATTACATCCTCTTTAGTTCAGATCTTTTTTCCCACTCATCATGATTTGTTCAATTCCAATTAGATCTTTCAAAGTGATTACAGCGCTCACCTGGACAGGATATCCTCCACAAATACGAGAAAAATATTGCATATCCTATTCCCTCACAGAAGCAGTTCAGGACTCGGGATGTAAGCATCTGGAGGACTAACTGCAAAATTAACTTGATACTACTTTTGAGTGCCATTTATACAAAACCAAGTTTTGTATAGCCAATGCTGATCCTGCTTAGGAGAGTATTAGCTGATATATTGTCAGAAGCCTTGCTGCAGTCAAGATTCCATAATTTGGTTTTGAGATGTTATTGTTGATTGTTATTAATCTTATCATCCAAGGCCTTACAAATAATTTGCTTAATTTCTTCCAGTAATTTGGAAGATACAAAATTGTGTGTGATACAAAATAAAGGTGATTGGCCTCTGAATTCTCATCCTTTTTTGATTTAGGTAGGCACTGTTTGCTTTTTGCTGGTCTCATGAAACCTCAGTGTCTTTTCTGAGTTGTTGAAGGGAATTGCTAATAGCCTTCAAATTACTTAATCATTTTCCTAAATGTTTTGTCTAAAACTGCAGATTATTTTTGTAAGCATTTTGAATAAATTGTTTCTGTAGTTCAGCTTGATCATTTGTTTGTATGTTGGTGGATTTGGATGGTAGAATTAATTCTCTTCATAGTGGCTGGTGTGGGGCTGTGTTCTGGATTTGGACTATTCTCTTCCCCTGTAAATCATCTGGTTACAACAGTTCTTTTCCTTTTTGCCATGATCAAAATATTGTCATTCATTCTGTACCTTATGTCTCCTTTTCCCTACCTAGGCTTCCTGAACAAACTCTCCATTTCCAATAACCAGTTATGACTATATATTCCTAATTCTATTATTATATTCCTATAATGAATATAATGATTTTTGGTTCCTCCTGTTTATTGCCCACATAAGTACACCAGTGTGCAGTGCCTGGAGACAGTGTCAGGGATACTCTCTTCTTATTATTTCTCTATTGCAATATTCAGTAAAATAATTTTCCTCCTCCCTGAATTCTTCTGCCTTCCCTATGGTTTTGTGGTTTATCTGAACCTGTGGTGGGATAAAAGTAATCTGGAAGTAATTTAATTTATACCATTTATAGAAAAATTGTAAGAATTCCTAAATGGGAAGCTGGCCAGAGAGTCTGGCTTTTTTTTTTTTTTTCTTCCTGTGAAATGCTCTCCTTTGCCTGCTTGCCTTACGCCAGCTTTGAGACAGGTTTTTTTTATGACAGTTCAGCTCAAAAAACAGCGTGTAACAAACAAACCTCTTGACCCCAGTGACAAGAAAACAGCCTAAAATCAATGCCCACATGGGCAGTCTAGCTGTCCCAGAGGCAACAGGACACAGCCCACTGGCTTTTATGCTAAAGTTGTTTTATTGAAGGCTGTGTCCTGACATTCCTTAAGATTTTGCTGAGCTGCATCTGAAATGGGGAGAACACAGACAAGCTGTACAGATGCTATGGGTAATTTAAATGTAATTTGTTTCACACACAACCCAACACAACAAGCTGTCATAATTTAAACATATTTTATTTAAACATAAACAATGGCGATATTTAATTAAGCATAGATATTTACTTTTAAAATATTTGCTTAACCACACCAAACCACTGTCTATAAGCAAACACAATCTACCTTACTTGGCGAGACCAGGGTACAAAATCTGAAGGCAACCTTAATTCATTTTTTTCCAAAGAGCGGATTTATAGGTTGCTTCCATTGTCCTTCAGTTGTGGGCGAGGATTTTGACACGTTTCAGTGCCTGCTGGATGCTTTCTGACAGGGAGGAGAGAAGCATTTATCAAAACTCGTGTGGGCAGCAGCAGAGGGAGGATTCTGCTCCTCTGCTCAGGTGAGACCGCACTTGCCTCCAGCTCTGGGCTCCCAGCAGAGGAAGAACACAGACCTGTTGGAGTGAGCCCAGAGAAGGCAGCGGGATGATCAGGGGGACGGAGAAGCTCTGCTCTGATAAAAGGCTCAGAGAGTTGGGATTGTTCAGCCTGGAAAAGAGAAGGCTTTGGGGTGACCTCATAGTGCCCTTTCAGTACCTGAAGGGAACTTACAGGGAGAATTTACTTACAACAGCATGTAGCTACAGGACCCAGAAGAACTGCTTACCACTAGAGAGCAGGGTTAGATTAGCTATTAGGAATGAATGTCTCCCTGTGAGAGTGCTGAGGCCCTGCCAAAGGGTGCCCAGAGAAGCTGTGGCTGCCCCATCCCCCGAAGTGTCCAAGGCCAGGCTGGACAGAGCTTGAAGGAACCTGCTCTAGTCTAAGGTGTCCCTGCCCGTGGCATGATGGTGGAATGACATGGTCTTTAAGCCCCCTTCCAACCCAAACCATTCTATAATTGTGTCCCAGAGCGAGCACTCCCATGGGGCCGCACAAGACTTCCGCAGCGATGGGAAGCCGGGCCGGGCCGGGCGCGGAGCCGCTCGCCCCGCGCATCCCGCCGGCAGCACGGAGCGGCCCCGGGCTCCCGGCGGGGCTGTCGCTGCCGAGAGCGGCCGCCGTCCCTCCTTCCCTCCCGCCCTCACGCCGTGTCAGCCGTGCGCGCGCACCCGCCCGCCCTCTCGCCGCCGGAATGTGGGCGACGCTGTCCCGGCCCTGAGGCGGCTGCGCGGCCCCGCCGGGCTGGAGGCAGCGGCAGCGCGGGGAAGACGGCCGGGCTGCACCGGTGAGAGAGCGGGACGCTGTCCCGGGCCTGCCCCGCCGGGGCGAGCGGAGCGGAGCGGGTGTCATGAGGGGCGCAGGCGGGGAGGTCGCCGCTCCCGCAGGAGAACGGGAGGGGAGGGAG